ATCAATGAGTGTCTCTACAAACACCTTTTATACTACTAGACTATTCAGAAATTCGTCGATTGGTGTTTTTTGACTACTTTGGACTTCTTCTACTGTAAATAAATGTGATTTTTCACCGTCCACCTTTTTATTCAAGTGATTTCGGTTTGTCCCTTCCCTCGAATACAAAAAAAAACTTACGAAAAATAAATTTTGAAAATTTTCTAATTTTTCAAGATAGCAAATTAGATGACAGTTCGGAGTAGTACGACAAATTCTTTCTTGTTGCCCTTTTAGCAAACTGAAAGATTCGTTTTAATTTTTAGGCACTGATCACCTAATGAATCAACCTGACCACCATTCGTTCTCGCTTGATGAAATGTAAATTATTTTTCGAAATCTCTTCTCTTCTATTGATCATGAGATTTTGAAATGATCTAAAATGTTAGATAAAATTCAAACTTCAAAAGATTCTATATGTTTATCAAGTTTCGCACAGAATAATTGCCATTAATACAATATTTTTATGTTTTTCCTTGATATTACTACAATAAATTCAAATAATATTCAGTTTTTTATTTATAATCTAAATATCGTATCATTCATATCAACGTTTTTTTTGATTTTCCTCACGAAAGGAATTCAAATACTTTGTAGTAGAATTCAGAATTCAACTGTAGTAGAAATTGAAATTGTAATTTCTGCTGCAACACAGATATAAATATGGAATTTCATTTTGCAGCAAAATGCTCGCGTGCATTAGTATCTAATCTGACAGTAAATGAAAGGAAAAGCAATTTGTTTTGCGCAATATCAATTTAATGCATATATTTCTATCTATAGAAAAATGCACTTAGCAACTAGAGCATGATAAATGAAGATTTCACCAAAGACGTCGAGATAAAAAAGAACAATTGATTCTAAAATTAATATCAAACTAATAGGTTTCTTTCATAGTCAAGAAAAATTACAAAGTGAAAATGAATGTTAAAAAACATTATATAAAATTAATCCGTATTTATGAATGAACATCGAGCACAAATGAAAATATCATTTGAATTGAGAAACACATACACTCAGAGTGAGATGTATATTCAAAGTACAAAGTTAATTACTGGTCAAGTTTAATTTCAGTATCGTAAAATAGTTGTAGCAGATAACCAGTAATAGAAAATAAACTATTATGAGAATATTGAACATCTTTATTGATTATGCTTAATTGAGGAATTTTTCAATTTCAATATCACTTTATGAAAAATGATATTGATTTTCCAAAACGATTTGTGTATTAGATTTCTTTTGGAATAACGTTTACAAGTTTTATTTTTCTGAAATTGTGTTTAACTGTTGTTGAAGAAATCGGATCTCGTTGTTTCTCAAAACTAGATGATGAACACATTATTATGCAAATAATTTATTTTTTTTCTTGATGGAGTTCGCAAACTCAATGAAGAGACTTAATTAAATGGCTCACTCACTTGTCTACACTGTAAACAGAAGGCTTCGGATGAAATTTCTTCCTGAACAGCAAAAATGATTTCACACACAGGGTTTAGCATGAAACATTTATCGGAAAACGTCTAAGAGGTCTTGCACAAAAGGTTTAGTACAAAACCTTTCAAGGTATATTCATCTAATGAGGTAGTCCCGGATAATGATAAATCGCTTTCGAGTTGAGCCTCTGTGCATAAGGTAGTTGTCGGTGATATATGAAAACTCCCTGAATGATGTCATTCATTCCCAGATCGAATCTACCCAACAAGATCCCATCGGATCCATAAAATATCTGACAAGATCCGACCGTCGGATTCAATGGGATGCCGGCAGTTGGAAGCTCGTCGGATTCAAGTCTTTCTTTATGCTAGTATTACAGATTGACGCAAATTCGTGAAATTTAAACTGTTATTCTTCTAGAATAAACCAAGCCATTTCTAATTGACATGACATCTATTAACATTTTTTTTTTGAGTTGGTGACGTAGAGGAAGAACAGGCAAAGTGTACAAAAACTTATTTTATTTGGTTTGTTTTGAAATATTTCGAAGTTTCTTACGATTATTTCTTCATTCATAAGTTAGTTTTCTGTTTCCTGCTGTTTATAGAACTTTTTTGGATAACACGTTTCAAATATCAAGATACTCCCTTTCCTTCCACGTTAATTTCACGAAAAACGATTTTCATTCTTCTTTTTATTAGAAATTTATTTTAATTGCTTTTTTAAAAATTATTCCCTTCCAATGTAATGTTGTATACTCGTCAGATTTTTCATGCATAGTTTTTTTTATAATTTATATATAAGTGTCGAAACTGAAATTACGTCCAGTGTTGCATTGATGTTATTCGGTTCACAAAAGTATCAATTACTCTGTACGTAGACGTTGGGCTCAAATTCAATTCGCACTATGTTTCGGAATAATTTTCTCACAATTTGGGTGTGGGTGTGGATGTCCATCATTTCGTAACCGACACCCACACCAACCCTAATTTCTTTATTACAGTATAATGGAAGCAATAAATCCAGATGATAATTTAAGTTTATTAGTAATTCGTACGATTCGACTACTTCATGTGTTAGCTGTGATAAACCGTGTACCATCAATGCGTATACTTGTCATTTTATTACGGAATTTTTTCTGTCTTCTTCATATTTAGTATTCTTTAGGGTTAAATTACGGAAAGGTTTATTATGTAATCGTTGTTTTCTTCCAATTAAATACAGCAACAATACCTGATCAAGCTTTATTTGAGTATGATTTACAATGAAACATATTGTATTATATGCTTTCATTTTTTTTGTAAAAAAGCGGTTTTAATTCACGAGGATTTTATATTCCATCTGATTAAGATTCATTTGTTTGTTCTCATCCTCAATTAAGTGAAATGACAAAATGTTCAGATATTCCTAAATTATGAAAAGGAAATATAACAAATGGATGTATTAGTTGGAATCAATATGTAAATTTTGTAATGTATCCAATAAAAATCCATATTCGGATCCAATTAGTTTTGATAATATTTTTTATGATAAATTTCTGTCTTGTTGTTATAGCAACACACTTTAGTGGAACAAAAACAAAGTGCAACAGAAAGAATAGTGAATGGACGAAGACGTTTTTCACGTTCTTTAAGTACATTATTAAGTGATGAACCTAGTTCTTGTTCAGAACAAATAGTTAAATATATGGAACGTTTATACCAGCATGCACATAAAAAATTAATATTTTATGGAAAAATTATAAACTAAATCGTGCAAACGTAAGACTAATTAAGAAAGTTTTAACTTAAATGCCACTTTTTTGTGTGTGTTTGATTTACAAGGGTATTATTCAATCGAACAAAAACTTATTTAAGTGGTATATTTAACGATTAGTTATACAATAGAATAAACTATATAAATCAACAGATCTCATTCCAAATATACTTTCGATTAGATAAAATATTATTATCTCAACATATGTAACTAAATATTTGATTATTTTATTTTGAAAGAAAACAGTTATTTTTTTCAAATCAAATATTATTTATTGCTATTTTTTGTCTTGTATTATATCTTATGAAATATGAATAGATTGAGATTTAGTTCTGGTAAATGAGTTCGAAATTGATTTATGTATATCAGAATTATTTTGACTTTTATTCATAGGTTTAAAGTGATATATGATAATCGATTAAAATATTTTAAAATTAATATAATTAGGTAATCGATTTCTATGAAAAGAATAGAAAACTCTGTAAGAAAATAGGTACGGTTTCTGAAATAAAATTGATTTATTTAATATAAATAGATGATTGTTATTTATTGTCTTATCAATCATAACATTCAATAGCTTAATTTTAACTAAAAAACATTTTATTAAAGAATTATTTTTTGCTTAAAGTTCTCTTAGACAAAGTAAATTTTCATCAATGTTATGATTTATGGCTTGTTCAGTAGAGGAAAATGTCTAATCTTCAATCCACTTTAGTTAATTAATTTTATAATGAAACTTCTATATTAAAAAAATAAAAGATCTTTAAAAATTTATTTTTCATTTTTCTCAAAATCAGGTTGTTTTTTTTTGAGCATGGTGTGTTACACGGAGAGGCTTTTCGTCATAACAACTCGATATAGAAACGATAATTTTTCTTTTGAACATGAATTCAAAAAACCTTTGAGAAAGAAAGAAAGAAAAATTCAAAAATCAGTGTCTAAGGATATTTTATAGCCTAAAACAACCACTCAAGCATATTATAATCTGTCCTATCCTAGATTAATATGCTCTGAAAAATTACAAAGTTAGTTTCTAAAGGAGAGCTCCTTAATTTAATGATAAATCGAATCAATTTTTTAAAATATATTTAATACGAGAGAGAATTAAAAAGTTTTCTCTAATGGTTAACAATCATAGTGATTTATACAATTATAATTTAGGTATTTTCAAAAAGTTCTAGTTTTATAAGTAAATAAATTTATCAATATGATTAATTAATTTAGGATTATGATTTGTGAAATAAAATTTATTACTTATTTAATAGGCTAAAGAAAAACGTTTAATTGGTAGAAAAAAAACGTCGTCGAAAAGAGTTTATAAATAAAAAATTAGAAGCAATGGAAATTCATTTAAATCGAGATTCAAAAACAAATTTATATTCATCATCAAATCTCGAAATAATTCGTCAATCAAACTGTCGATATAATCAAATAAATGATAATTTATCAAATTGGATAGATACATCATTATCTTCATCAATATGTGATGCATCATCTGCTAGTCATGAACAATCTTACATATTATGTTCAATACATACAATAAATGCTCATTTAGATAATATTAATATTATTCAACATTCATCATCATTTTATTATGATCGATATGATAGTTCAATTCCATCAATTTTATTAAATAATATATCGATTAAATCAAATTATTAGATTTTAGAAATACTGAAAAATATCTTGAAGAAAATCAATGTGATTTTTATCGACAATATATTGAAAATGAAAAATTTAGTATTAATCATGAACATGAAGAAACAGATGATAATGATAATGATAATAATCAAATAAAGGGTGTGGGTGTGAGCTGTGGGGTTATGGGTGTGCGGATAGTAAGAAAGACACATTCACACACCCACTGACACACTCCACGCACCCACACCCTCACTGAGCATAAAATTTACAATTGATTTGAGAGAACATCCTTCCATGCAGACTCAATTAATTCCGAATTTATCTGATGATGAATAGATTAAGCCCCATTCGAAACGATCGTCGTAAATAGCCTGGAATTATCTTGTAAACTCGCCCTCACACTCTCAAGATTTGTTGATTCTAACATTCGCTGTCATATTTCTGTTCATATATATCATATTTGGTCACATTTTGTGAGAGTGATATTTATTAAGAAAAACGATACAGAAGAATGCTCTGTGTTATTTATGATAAACTATTCAGGAACAAACACGAAGTAACCATCTGTGTTTTTGATGTCATACGATTTATCTCCATTATAACTAGAGTTCGCACATGATCTTTCTTCAAAACCATCGTTATCTTTTGATCTTCGAAAAAGTGAAACTGTAGTTGAACCCTTTTTTGACCGAAAAGTAAACACCTGTTTAGGTTTAAATATGTGATCGCTTCTTCTCATATTTGCATCAGTAAGAACCATTCGAACTATTTCATCGGTAAGATTAACTATTCTGGTTTCAGCCATGCCCACAGCCGCTGTGTCCCATCCCGAGGTGGCACGAGCAGCTTCACCATGCACCCTAATAATACTGTATACACACCCAAGTGTGAAACCATGAATCAAATTTTGTTTCCATGTTGGTGTATATTGAGATGGTACGAACTGCAAGTAAGTTTCTGTTTCTTGAATAGTCAATGTAGTGCCTGCAGCACAAGTATAGCCTGCGCATGATGATGGCTCAAAGTTATTGCTTCCAGGTAACAGTTTGTAAAGTGAAAAAGTATTGAAACTAGACGATGTTGTTCCAAAACTTACTGTTCCGTTTGGTGGTACTATTCGAGTACTGTCTCTACCGGATTGATCATTCAGCACCACGCGAACTAATTTATTAGTCTCGTTGCGTACGTCAGTGTCCATGATACACGAGTGATTAATATTACGTGAAAATATTTCTAAAAGTTTAGAATCAGATTCACTTCATTGGATTTAAAACATTCTTTCAGATTTATTTTTTTATAAAGAAAAAGTATAATATGTAGTCAGTATTCTGCTGTCTAAAATTCAAAAATGTTTTTCTACCTCGTTAGCTAGGGGGGTTTTCCTCTACCAATCACACTCAATGAAGGAAAGATTGAAAAGTTTCAAGCAATAAATGTGGTATTATTTAGTTCTTCATTTAATCACAGTCAGTAATTTTCATAGAAAAGAAATCACAACTGCTTTTATTTTGCAGTAACCAAGCGGACGTTACTGACGCCAACTATCGATGAGTGTTTTCTCATGTAAGTCGAAAAGCTAATATAATAAGATGTTGAATTACTCATGTTTCTAATTAATAAATTATCACAAAGTCACATTATAAGAGGGATGCGCCGACACAAATACAACTTGTATCGGTCTGCTCGACAGCCCCTCATGTATTCCATTCTAATCCTTCCACACCGCAAAGCTATCCGCATCCACCCTCACGTATCGGCATGTATCCGCTTGTTTCGGACCTATGTATAGCCGTACCGAGGTATTTACCCCTGAAAAACCTAGAATTCACGTGAAATCATGTACTGCCATGTATTGCCATGTATCGATACAAGACGAAACAAGCTGATATGTGCCGATACATGCTTTGGTGAATTCTAGGCCTTTTAGGGGTATATATCACAGTATGGCTATACATAGGTTCGATGCATAGCGATTGGTATCTATCGGCTTGTATCGATGCGTGGTGATACATCCCGATACATGATTTCGTGAATTCTAGGTTTTTCATGGGTTTATTCGACGCTGTGGTTATATATACCCCCGGAAAGCAAAAGTTAGCCACAATGTTTGATCGCTTTTTACATTGGAAAAGAACATATCGAAAAATTTAATTATACCATTTGATAGCGCTTGAAATTCTCTACCTGCTTGTCTATTTGTATTTGAGTCTACGCTTGAGCATTATGAAACTAAATTGAGTGTAATGAAGGTGGCTTCATGTGCTCATTCACAGAGACGGACTTTCTAGTTTTTAATATTTTTCATTACTATAGAGACACGCTTTTTTAAATTAATTATATATTCTGATAGAGCTTGAAACTCTCTATCATACCATATATATATATATATGTTGCTTTGTATTTATTTGTTGAAAAATAACCCGAATACAATGAAGGCATCTTCGATTGACGAATCCTAAAAAAAGTCTACTTTTTCTGCTATTTTTTAGTATTTTTATCTCCTTATTTTTCATATAGAGTAAATTTTCACAAAAGTAAGTATACATTCTAATAGCTCTTGAAATTCTCTATCAACTTGTATAAAAATATATTGCTTTCGATATAAGTAGGAAAAAGAATCAGTGTGTCTTCGAAATTGTCAATTGAAAGGTCTTGACTTTATTCAAATTATTTTTTAACAGATGAGTGCAAAGCGAGGTATAAATATATGGGATGATAGAGTATTTCAAGCTCTATCAGAATGTTTAACTATTTTTTACAAAGACAATTTTATAGTGATAACAAATTTAAAAAACTATTTTCTATGCCAGTGACAAAATCCAATCTGCGGAAATGTGAGCATCAAGGTGCCTTCATTATACTCAATTTATCTTCATTATTTTCAAGCGTAAATTAAAATACAAATGTACAGCCTGGTAGAGAATTTCAAGCGCTATCAAATGGTATAATAACTTTTTTCGATATGTTCTTTTCGAGTGTAAAACAAAGTCAAACAGAGTGGCTAACTTTTGCTTTCCGGGGATATATAGGTCCGATAGAAGCGGACACAAGTCGATACATCTCGATACATGAGGATGGATGTGGATAGCTTTGTGGCATGGAAGAATCAAGATGGAATACATGAGGAGCTCTCGAGGGACCTGATACAAGTTGTATTTGTATCGGCGCAGCTATGTACGTACTCGATTCTGAACTATACAAGTTGGGTGTTTACAATCGATTTTACTGCGTATTTATCGTTGGAAAGAATTATTTCATTTTTCCAGCCTATAAAGATGCATTTTGTTGATTTTGCTTTTATTTTTTTATGTGATACTCTGAAGTACTTACATAAGGCATGAATAAGAAATACAGAAAGTAAAATGAACCAATTTATGCATAAAAAAAAGAAAAAAAAGGAAGAAAAAGAAATGAAAAACACATAGTAACAAAGAGAGAAATAAATTGAAGCGGATTTAGGTGTAAATGATACTAGTCGTGATTTTGTGATTGGGCTAATTTTAAACCTCCACTATAAAGCTACTCTTTTCCTATGGTAATCTTTAAGTCTTGGGCGGGGTTTAGGTAGCGATATAATTGCTTTGTTTTTTTATTGTACTATACATACTTGAGCCATTTGACTAAGAGTGGTTCATGTCTTTCTATTTGCTTTTAACTAGCTTTTGTTAGAAAAAGTGTCCCATCATGTCCTTCCCTTTTTCTTAAAATTTTCCCAGTAAAATATATCTTCAAAAAAGAATGACTTATAAAGATGCATGTTTATCAATGGACCATAACATTTTCATTACATAGATTGCTTATTTTTTGCATATTTTCATCATATTAGCATTCACCTTGCTTTTGTTGGAATCTTTCTCTTTTCCTTTTTATTGCTTCGTGTTATTATGATGAGTAAATGAGACAGTAATTGCTTTTTACCAACCGGCATGTCAAAATGAAGTAATAGTGTTATTTCACAACACATTGAAATTGAGAGTCAATGAATACAGTTGCATCTTTCAATTTAATGTTGAATTATTGTCATTAAAGTCAGATTTCATTCTCGAACATCTAGGATGCACACAATTTAAAATCACAGTACTTCGCTGTTATTATTTCTACATGTCTAGATGTAGTTCTTGACGCCGATTTTAAATTTGGTTTCATTTTTGAAGTTTGCATTACTCATAGTGAGCGAAAATCTAAAATAATGAGGAGAATTTTTGCTTTTATAACTACTCTTTCACAACAAAAAATCGATATATTCAGTTTTAGCATTACGAGTTTCGTTCACCAAACTGCAATTTTCCCACTTCTCATATAAAACTGAGTCCAGAAGTATTATTGAAAGTTAATAGAACATATTTTAATAATATATAGAGCAACATAATAGATTTGAAAATATAAATCAAATGATTTATAGAAGATTAAAGTTCTTTTTTTATTTCTAATAGTTATAAACTTAAACATAAGACAATGTTTATGACCAATCTAATCGTTTTTATATTTCTAGATGTATATCATTTGACTTTGTTTAATTTTCGGCCATGACAAGGCCATCATCGGAACAGATGTTGAACGAAATGATTTTTTTATTTTATTATTTATCGTAAGATTTTAATGTTAATGATGATGTTATGATTCATTTTTATTTTAACACGACCAGAATCAAGTTGTATCACATATAACATCAATATGACCAACAATCAAAGATGTACCACTATTTATTGATTTAATATTACCATGTGTTATTGTTTCTCTAAATAGAGAACACATAATATAATATGTACCATGTCACTAGTTGCTATTGATTTAATTTAATACGTACATGAATCAATTTTTTTAATAATAATAAAGACATGGAATTTTATTTAATAAAAGATATTTTGATTATCGGTTTGTTACATGTCGAGTGACAAAAGAAAATTGCAAAGATAAATAAGCACTTGTTTTATATACGTTCATTTTTTTTAATGTTTTTTTAATAAATGTATTTACGGTATTGAAGTGAATATAAACATGGACGATTTACTTCTGTGTAAGTATATGAGTTTTGATGTTTCTTCAACGTAGACTAATCTGATGTTGGGTATGGTGAAATTGATGTTGTTGGTGTAGTAGTTGATGTACGATCTGATTTATTGTATGAAGGAACGCAGCTGGGGTCGACGCTGTTGTTGATATTGAGATATATGATGGGGATTATCTAAAATGAAAAAAGAGGATTAATTATTTGTGAACGAGTGTTTGATTTTTTATATGTTATGATTATGGTATTGAGAATAGTTGTTTGAGAAGGCCGATATGATTGCATCTTTTTGTAGTGGTTTTTTAGGTAATGCTTGGATTTTGTTTCGTTCTTTCGATTCTATGTCTGGTCTATGTGTTGATGAATGGGTTGGCGTGGAATCGAACAACGGTTTTTTTTTCGATGCTATGATTGGTGGTATCTTATGTTCGAATTAATATCATGGGGGTTTCTTTTGAAATCTTATTAGTCGATAGATATTTTTTTTATCGTCGTGGGTTGTATGTACACTCATTCTTCTGGTTGTGTTTTCGATTAAATCTCGCAAAATCAGATTTCAATGACGTTTCTCGTATTATCTAATTTTTGATTTATATCAATTATGGATTCTCGTAATAGTCAAATTAGATATGCTACAGTAAATATCGATGAATATATTCGTCAGCATTATAGAAGTCGTTTTTTATACATTTATCGTAATGTCAAGAAATTTTACTATCGTTTGGAGGCTGTTCAACTGGATATTCAGTATTTAAAAATATGTCGTTCAAAAGATATTATTCCGTCATTTCTATGTTTTAAAACAGCAAACTCTGATCTATCGTCTTCACGAGTCTATAAGGATTGCCAACGTAAGCTCCTCAATGTCGAAATCAATGTAAAACATAAAAAATTAAATGAATTAAAGAAAATGTATGAATTATCAGTTAATCAACTTCGTGAATTATCATCTCCTGATTTCTTCGAACATTTATATGAACTTAGTGTATCGAAATGTTCAGGTTTAATAGATAAAAAACGAACTACATTAAATAAAAAATTATTATCGTTGAGTCCTGTTAATAGCTCATCACATAATTATAATTCAAAATTCGTAACTAATTTATCATCACGAGTACTATCTAATGAAGAACTTATTTGTCTGGCCAATGGATTAGATTACTCTTTACCAGCAAAATCTATCAATTTTATCAATGTTGCAAGTAATGTAGAAATATTTTTTCATCGTATTACTGATGTTTATCAACATCAAAAGAAATCTATGAATGAACACAAGGAATATGAAGCCATTAGTGAAAGCGATGTACGTGTTTTAAACACGAAAGAGCTGACTTTGGCTAATGATTTAAGTTCCTTAACTAAATCGTTTCTAAAAAGAGCTAACCGAGGTCAAATACAAAAAAATAAATTTGATTTTCAACAACAAAGTTATCGTAAATTATTACAAAAATTAAAAGAAGATACGCCAATAATTATTACTCGTCCAAATAAAGGAAGAGGTGTTGTTTTAATGGACAAGCAAGATTACGTGAATAAGATTCAGTCTATTCTCAATGACTCATCTAAATTTTCTTCTCTATCTGAAGATCCTACATTAGCACGAGAGAATAGCTTGAAATCATTATTACGAAAATTACACGACCAAGGGCAAACTACTGATCAATTTTATTATCTTGCACGACCTACTGGATCCAATCCTGGACGACTTTATGGATTTTCAAAAGTTCATAAACAACCTGTATCACTTCGACCAGTTCTTTCATCAATAGGAACATTTAATTATGGACTTGGGAAGGCTCTTACTCAAATGCTATCAGATCTGATAGACAACAAGAATATGATTAAAGATTTATCTTCTTTTGTTAAAGATCTGCATGCATTAGATGACCCTCTCTCAACGTTCAAAATAGTATCATTTGATGTTGTCAATTTATATACAAATATACCTGTTGATGCAACAATTAATATTATTCTCAAAGAATTATATGAAGATCGACCTGTACCACCTATTATTGAACGGAACGATTTGAAGGAACTTCTAACCTTCGCTATAAAAAAATCTAATTTTCTCTTTGATGGAAAAATTTACGATCAAATAGATGGAGTATCAATGGGCTCTCCATTGGCTCCCCTACTTGCTCAAATTTTTTTTCAAGAATTTGAGAAAAAAAATTTATCATTATTTGAAAATTTGGGCATCCTTTACTGGAAACGATACGTTGATGATACCTTCGTATTGTTGAACCCAAAATTTTCTACAGAAAAGGTTTGTGCTGAACTCTCAAAATTACATTCTTCTGTTAAGTTCACTTCTCAGGAGGAAGATGCAGTTAAACACAAACTATCATTTCTAAACGTATTTATTCAACGACAAGAAGGTATCGGTTTTCAAACTCGTTATCTACAGAAAACCGACCTTCACTGGACTTATGACAAAATGGAATAGCTTCGTTCCAAAAATTTATAAATATAATACTATCTCTGTTATGGTACACCGTGCTATTTAAATATGTTCATCGTATAAAGTACTTCATGTAGAGTTTCAATTTATTCGAAAAATATCAAAGAGGAATGGTTATCCTTCTAATTTTGTCGATTCAATTATTAAACGGCAATTAAATTTAAAATATGAACCTCCTGCTCCTGTACTACCAGCTCTTAGTACTGATACACTGAAAAAAAAATCCGGATAATTACCTACCCTTGCCTTTAAAAATTACGTTGGTAAACCCTTGAAGGGTTTATGCCGCTTGGAACTACCCCAAAAATGGTTTATTAGTAAAGCCGTTTATTAGACAAAGGATTTATTAAAAATCAACGGGTATATGAACGTCATAGAAATGTTAGTGACTCTACGGTTTCGCTAAAAGAGTATAGTGCACAACTGATCGCCGGACATCACTATTTGTTCTTAAGATAATGGTATTTTATTGTCCGTTGTGAGGTTTAGCACTCTACTTTTTCTTTAATAGGATACATTTAACTGCCTCTTAGGGAATAACATTCTACTCTTCTATAAAACTGTTTATTATTCTACACCTAAAGGTATAGTCTCCCATCTTATTTTTCTAGCCGTTGATCATTCAACGTTCAACTATGACATTTTTTATGTCTTAACAAAAAGGGTATAATATTGTACGGAAAGAGTTGTACTTTGCATGCTCTCAATTATAAGCGTTGATTATTCTACTAGCACACATTGCCTCCTATACTCTTTTATTCTGAAGGGTAGTTTCTACGCTTCCGTAAGGTTGATTCAACTCCTTTTTGTTTCATAAAGGTTCATTATTGTGCGACTAAGAGTTTATCGGACTATTTTTTCTTTGGAAGAGTTTATGACTCTCTGAATAAGGGTTTATCATACTCCGGCTTCTTTCGATCGGTTTATTCAAATACATACATGGGTTTATTATATGCTGGTTTCTTTTCAAACGGTTTATTCAGATACATGAAAGGGTTGATCATATTCTAGTTCCTTTCGAATGGTTTATTCAAATACATACATGGGTTTATTATACGCTGGTTCCTTTTCAAACGGTTTATTCAGATACGTGAAAAGGTTTATCATACTCTGGCTTCTTTTCATCGGTTTTTTCAAATACGTACAAGGGTTTATTATACACTGGTTCCTTTTCCAACAGTTTATTCAGATACGTTAAAGGGTTTATTATATTCTGGTTCCTTTCGAATGATTAATTCAAGTACGTACAAGGGTTTATTGTACGTTAGTTCCTTTTCAAACGGTTTATTCAGATACATGAAAGGGTTTATCATAACATTGGTTTATCTGAAAGATTTATTCTTATACGTAACATCATACAATATGTTAACTGTTTCTTCAACATCATATGTGGAGAATGTTTTCATGTAGAGTATCATTTGGATATCATTAACTGACGACATAGATATACTTAGGGGTATCCAAAAGTAGTGGCAACGACATTTTTTTACCATATTTTAGGGTTGATAAAAAATTCTTTTTACATAGGATGATAGAGCGGAAAATGCTCTATCTTTCTATGCTATTTGATCGTACTTCGCTTGACATCATAATAACAAAATTCTAATAAAACTAGTTTGCCTAACATGTGTATCGGTTACAGAAGTTCACAGTGTCTCCAATATGCATTTTTTTCGTTATCTTTTCTTTGTTTTTCTTCTTTCCTTTATTCTTTTCTCTCGTCTCTTCTGAGACTTTATCGTTTATTCATATCGGCATACTCGAAAATCGAAAATACATGAGCAAGTTCAATAAGTTTTATTTGATTAAATGTTCAAAGTAATCGCCTTGATTATCTACACACAACTGCATTCTTTGAATCCATTTCTCAAACGTTTTTCTATACTCGTCTTTATCTAAAGAATACATAAACTCGGTTATGGCGTGATGTAACGTTTCGGAATTAGGTTGATCAGTTAGATTTTGTTTGATAAGGTCGAATAACCAAAAATCACAGGGAGATAGATCTGGAGAATTGGGCGGATGTTGTACTATGGTAATTCCCTCAGAACGAAGATAATCGAGGACATCTTGATGAACATGTGCTCGTCCGTTATCATGATGAAGTTTGATAGCATGAGTACCTGAGGAAGGTCTTTGTTTCTTAATTTCTTCGATGACAGGTTGCAAACAATTTTCGATGTAATAATGGCGATCGATAGTCTGTCCACGTTCGACACGATGGATTAGAAGAGGACCAGTTGATTTAAAGAAAATGCAAAATAAAGTCTTAGGAGCAAACTTATTTCGTCGTATTATTGTTGGTGGAGGATCATCTTTTGCCACCCAAGCAGCATTGGAAACTTTTCGACCAGTTTGCTGATGGAAAAACCACGATTCATCACCTGTTATCACGTCAGACAAACGCCATCCTCCTTCTGTAAATTTTGATAGATTTTCTTTGCATATTCGAACTCGTTCATTTCGTTGATAATCCGTTAGCTGTTTGGGTATGTAACGAGCAGTAATTTTTCTAAGTTCCAGATGATCCGATAATATTCGATGAACGGTGCCATAGCTTAGACCAGTATGCTCCTGTAATTCTGCTATTGTAACATGAGGATCATCGTTAACAATACTACGAATTTCTTCGATATTGTCAAGAGTAGTCTCAGTTACAGGTCTTCCAGATCGTTCTTCATCTTCAATTTCTTCTCGACCTTCACGAAACCATTGAGCCCATCTGGCAACTGTTCGATAAAAAGGAGCTTCATCACCAAAAACCGTATGCAGCTCGTCGTGAATAGTTCTTGCTTCAATATTTAGTGCAGTACGCACTTTAATGTAGAAACGAAAATTCTCTGTGTTCATTGAAAACAAAAATGAAGAGTGTTAAAAGCCGATTTAACTCTACTTCTTTTACTTTCTATCGAATAGAAGAGTGCATGGCACGTGCACAAAAAGAGGCATGCATCTTTGTATTTATATGATAAACAATAAAGTCTCAGAAGAGACGAGAGAAAAGAATAAAGGAAAGAAGAAAAACAAAGAAAAGATAACGAAAAAAATACATATTGGAGACACTGTGAACTTCTGTAACCGATACACATGTTAGGCAAACTAGTTTTATTAGAATTTTGTTATTATGATGTCAAGCGAAGTACGATCAAATAGCATACAAAGATAGAGCATTTTCTGCTCTATCATCCTATGTAAAAAGAATTTTTTATCGACCCTAAAATATGGTAAAAAAATGTCGTTGCCACTACTTTTGGATACCCCTAAGTATTTGATACAATACAATGAATGTTGCTTAAATATATAATATGCGAGATATTTGAAAAGCAGAAAGCACAGAAAAAGAGCGAAAAACCCTCCAAAAAAGTAGTAGAAGTGGGGGCAGCACTGCTGGGGAATCATTAACTTCAATTTTTAAATAAAATTTTTTTTCCGAAAAGAGTTTTATGTAAATAAAAATTATCGATGTGAAGCAAGCACGACGAAGAAAAAAATTTGATTGGATACCAAGATCAACCAATCAAAAAAATCACAATAACGAAAAACACGATTTTGAGGGTTAGCGCAACCACAATGGCAGCACATAGCAACCCATATAAAATAAAACCAAACACATACTTATAAAAATTCGAACTTCCATTAAATATAAACAATTCTTCCGAAATAATTAAAGCTACAAATCAATAGATGCAGAATTGAATTCTCTACAAGATGATGTATAGCTTATCTTCGGGCAATGTATCCCTTCTTAAAAAATTAATTTTTTTTCACAATTTTTTTCAATTTTTTTAAGAGAAACGTCATAATTCACAGGGTATCATCCAGATGGAAATGGAATTTGCATTTGACCTATACATCATTCGATGCAGAATTGAATTCTCTACAACATGAGCTAGCCCTCCTCTCCGGGGAATGGACAATTTCTTTTGAAAAATATTCTTTTTTTAAATTTTTTTCCATTTTCTTGGGTGGCGGATCCCAATGTTAGGAATTTCTCACACAGATGGAAATCGACTTTCTCTATATGCTATAGAGGGGTTTGTAGAGAACTCAATTCTCTACAAGATGAGCTAGCCCCGATCTCCGGGCAATGGATACTTTCTTTTGAAAAATATTCTTTTTTTAATTTTTTTCCGTTTTTAGGGGTGGCGGATCCGACTGTTTGGAATTTCTCATCCCAATGGAAATCTATTCTCTCGATATGCTATAGAGGGGTTTGTAGAGAATTCAATTCTCTACAAGATGTGCCAGAAACCGATCTTCGGGCAACGGACAGTTGTTTTTGAAAAATTATTTTTTTTTAATTTTTTTCCGTTTTTAGTGTTGGCGGATCCAATTGTTTGGAATTTCCCCCCTCGACGGAAATCGATTCAGTCTATATCGTATAGAGGAGTATGTAGAGTATTAAATTCTCCACAAGATGAGCTAGCCCTGATCTCCGGGTAATAGATACTTTATTTTGAAAAATATTTTTTTTTAAATTTTTTTCCGTTTTTAGGGGCGGCCGATCAAATTGTTTGGAATTTCTCATCCCGATGGAAATCGATTCTTTGTATATGCTATAGAGGGATTTGTAGAGAATTAAATTCTCCACAAGATGAGCTACCCCTAATCTCCGGGCAATGTACAGTTGTTTTTGAAAAAATTTTTTTTTTCATTTTCTTCCGTTTTTAGCGTTTGCGCATCCAATTGTTTGGAATTTCTCGCGCCGATGAAAATCGTTTCTCTCTATTTACTATAGAGGGGTTTGTAGAGAATTAAATTCTCTACAAACTCCTCTGTAGCATATAGATGGATTCGATTTTCAACTCGGTCAGAAATTCCAAACAATTTGATGCGTCACCCATGAAAATAAAAAAACATTTTGAAAAGAAGTTTTTTGAAAACAAAACTATCTATTGCCCGTAGATCGGATCTAGCTCATCTTGTAGAGAATTGAATTCTCTACAAACTCCTCTGTAGCATATAGATAGATTCGATTTCCATCCATGTGTGAAATTCCAAACAATGGGATCCATCACCCAAGAAAATGGAAAGAAATTTTGAAAAGAAATTGTTTCAAAAAAAAACTATCCATTGCCCGAAGATCGGATCTAGCTCATCTTGTAGAGATTTGAATTCTCTACAAACTCCTCTATAGCGTGTAGATAGATTCGATTTCAATCCATGTGAGAAATTCCAAACGATGGGTCCGTGACCGAAGGAAATAGAAAAGAAATTTGAAAAGAAATTGTTTCAAAAAGAACTATCCATCACCCGTAGATTGGATCTAGCTCATCTTGCAGAGAATTGAATTCTCTACAAACTCCTCTATAGCATATAGATAGATTCGATTTTCATCCATGTGAGAAATTCCAAACGTTGGGATCCGTGACTGAAGGAAATGGAAAAAAATTTTGAAAAGAAATTGTTTCAAAAAGAACTATCCATTACCCGTAGATCGGATCTAGCTGATCTTGTAGAGAATTGAATTCTCTACAAACTCTTTTATAGCGTATAGATAGATTCGATTTCCATCCATGTGAGAAATTCCAAACGATGGGATGTGTCACGAAAGAAAATGGAAAAAAATTTCGAAAAGAAATTTTTTGAAAAAAAAATTTCCATTGCCCGTAGATCGGATCTAGCTCATATTGTAGAAAATTGAATTCTCTACAAACTCCTCTATAGCATATAAATAGATTCGATTTCCATCCATGTGAGAAATTCCAAACGATGGGATCCGCGACTGAAGGAAATGGAAAAAAATTTTGAAAAGAAATTTTTTCAAAAAGAACTATCCATTACCCGTAGATCGGATCTAGCTGATCTTGCAGAGAATTGAATTCTCTACAAACTCCTCTATAGCGTATAGATAGATTCGATTTCCATCCATGTGTGAAATTCCAAACAATGGGATCCATCACCCAAGAAAATGGAAAGAAATTTTGAAAAGAAATTGTTTCAAAAAAAAACTATCCATTGCCCGAA